CAGGGAGTCCAGGGTGTAAATAACCTAAATACTGTTGCGGTATTTGACTCCCTGCTAACGACACATTCCTGAGGGAAATTAATAAACATTTCACCTAAAAATCCATAGGAGTTTCAAACACCATCAGCAGGTGGTGCTGGCAGCCTTAAACAAATATCTGTAGCCATTTTTTTTTTTCAGCAGATGACCACCATCCCGTCCACCTCCTCAGTCTGTTTTTAACTGGTGCCCACAGAGGCAGGGCCACATACAAACAGAGGAGAAAACAAGCCTGCAGAGTTCAGCCTTTGTTTCCTGCTCAAACATTCCTGTCCGAGCCGCACATTTTCACACAGCGCTAGAACCAAATATAGGCGTCACTGAGGTTTACAAAGTGTCCCCGTGCTCAGACACACATTCTTTAATCCAGAGGTTTCGGGTTTGAGGCCCCCCCCAGCCCGCCCCCCGGCCCCGACTGTCCTTCAGCGGAACGCGTGTTGTTTACTTTGAACCGTAGCTTCACTCACACACAACATCACAGCCTGTTTTCATGGACACTTCTGGTAAAAGCTAAAAATAAAAAAAGTGCAGCTTTTGTTTTAAAATGGTTCTAATGTTTGGTTCTAATGGTGTTAATTTTATAAGCTGAGCTCTGTGAAAGAACGTCACGCTGCAGGTTGGCTGCTGGCGCTGCCAAAGAACCTCTTGTCTCTGCAGCTAAGCAAGATAATGGACTGAAATTAGAAACACACGAGATAAGTAACAGCATGAAGGGACACAACAGTCAAGAAGGAATATTGAAAAAAAAAAAAAAAAAACTCAAATCTGTCACAACTTTGGATTTTTAGAAAACATTATGAGCCCATAAACACCACAAAGACCCTGGAGTTGATCCAGGCAATCATCGAGTCCAATATGAGCGTTAACAAATCAGCACACTGTGAAATTAGATTCCACATCGCAGTCACCGTTACACAAACAAATACACAGCCAACGAGCGGATGCTTAACCAGCGTTAACCCGATTAAATACAGAGAGGCTTCAAATCAGCTTTTTCACACATGACCGACTGATTCTCAACAACCGTGGAATCACTTGGTTGCAATTATTTAGTCGCACTGATTTTGGGCTTCAAAATATGAAAGTCCTGCTCCAAAATTTATATTTCTTTAGCAGTGTTGCATTTCAAGACTTTAAACTTCATGATGAATTGTATTTTGTTGGAATCTAGAAGACGCACCGACTCCAAAACAGGTTTCAAAATGTTATGGAATGGTGTCGGTCTGAAACTTATTTAAAAAAGTTTGTCCTGGTTCCAAAAGTAGAACAACAGTCTTCATAAGTCATTCGTCATAAGTCACCTGAATTAATCCATCTGTCTCCATCTCACCCAATCTGGAATCTTTTCTACTTAGAGTCTTCACTAATGATTCTCACATCCTCCTCTACTGTGTTAACCGGTCTTATCTAAGGTCGGATCAGAATCTTCTTCTCCAAATGTCTGGCTGCTACATCTCTAATGATGTTTGGAGTCAAATCCTGTTCATCCTGGTAATTCCATTAACTCTACCTCAACCAGATTAGCCTTCTGAGTCGATAACGCTTTACACGATAACGTGATACATTCTTAAAACTTATCAACCTTGTTCTTAGGAGTGTTTACGATGTCTAACATTGGAATAAAGGTTCTCAATTGAGGTATTATTTGTTTAGTGTATTAATTAATTTCATGGGTGACACCCAGTCTAGGAGGACAGTCCAATAGTCGATGGCAGAGCAACAATCATTCACACTTAAGCCTGCGGTCAATTCTACGGTAAAAGTAACCTTTTCTTGGATGGTTTTGGACTCTGGGAGGACAATAACAACGTCTTCTACTTTGTGGCCCCTTTTCTGTGTTGTTTTGATTAAACGTTGCTTTGTTTGCTTGCTGATCTGATGATGATCTAAACACGGTGAGAGTTAATGAGTGGAGGAGCTGGATTACCGATCACCGCTTTGATCATGACGTTGGGCCCTGGTACAGTGTGGGCATCCAATACAGTCCAAAACAGAGAAAAGTCAAACATTTGTCTCAGATATTCGTAGTCGAGGTGCTTCCTCATATTGTCGAGTAAATATAAATAACAGCAGAAGTCCGTGTTGTTGCTGTTGTTGTTGTGGCTTGATCAACCCTTTGAGCTTCATAGCCAATCTGGGTTTACAGGCTGCAGCTGTCAACTCTCACTGCTGTGTTTTTGTCAGAGCAGCTTATTACTAAAAAAACACGGCAGCCTCTGTATTTAACCGAATTATAGACAACCCCGGCACACTCCCTGAGCTTCACTGTGTTTAAAAATCACTACTTCCTGTCAAGTTGTCAAAAAACATGTTCCCACGACTAGGGCTAAAACTCTCGTTAGCTTCCTGATGCTATCTGCGGGGGGCTAAAGGCTAAGCCTCTATTGTCGGACAAACGTAAAGCTATTCAAAAAAACCCTTGTAATTTTCACTACAGTATGTCGTGACAAGACGCCAAGAACACACGATTTGTGTATAAAATAAGCACAATTTCTTTTAAACTCGTAACAGTTACGATTTGACGTAACCTTGCGAGTTTAGGTCCAACGCTAAAACGATAGCATTAGCCTTGCTTATTTATTATGTATTGACGTGTTTACAGTATTTCAACAGCAGAAAGGCCATTTCTGGGAAAACATTGGTAAATATATGAAAATTGGTAAATTCATGAAAATTTTGACAAAACGATGACATTCATAAAAACAACAGCAAAGCCCAGCCCAGACACAGTGTGTCCGACAATAGAAGTAACTGGATTCGTAAGTAGCTGATAACGGGCTATATTAGAAACACCAAAGCGGGTAAAATAGACATAATTCTTAAAATGCATGTATTAGACACATTTCAACTGTCACAGGTGCCACAATCAGCCGTCTGAAACCTCGGGTTCCCATAATTCCCTGTCCGATAATGGAACTCCGCGGCTCTTGCCTACTCCAATTGTAACTCTACCTTGTACACATCTCCGTAGGTGCCGCTTCCGATCCGCTGGATCAGCTCGAAATCCTCCTGCGGATTCCGCCGGGACAAATCCATACTGGAGTTCATCATCTCCGCAGCGGTTTACGGTGCCGATCGGGCACCGCGGACAAAGTCCCGACGCAGTAACAAAAACGCTATTTTTAAGAAAAACATACGGCGTCAGAAAATCCCAGCCCGACTCCACCGTAGCTCCAACATGGCTTCCAATGCGCACTGCTCATGCGCAATGGACGTCCTGAGCAGGGAGATGGAGCAGGGTGGATATTAGCATGATAATGAATTGTCATGTCAACAAACTCACAAAGTAGGCACAGGAATGTTGTCCTTTTTTTTAGTACGAGCATGTATAGGGTATAAAGTTAAGACTTGAAAAGGTTTTGCTGTTTTGTAAAAATTAGGAACATAATTTATTTAGTGAAAAATTAATTTTTATGTACATTTATGCGACCCACTGTTGGACAGATTTATATGGCATCATAAGTCTCAGTAAACGAGTTCCAAATTAATAAAGAAAATCAAAATATGATTGATGTTATGATTTGGCCAAGAATGACTAAAAGATAACAATTATAGATGTGTAGATATTAATGGCAATTATATTACAAACTAGTTACACAAGGTTAGCCAACATAACCAAACGTAAAGGACCCCAATATGCAATATCAACCAAAAGACAAAAAAAAAAAAAACTTATCTTGAAATAATACATTTTTTTTCTTATCATGTGCAGCGATCATAATCAAAGCAACATAGATCTCGTTGTATTTTAAAGCCCTTTCGATCAGTCTGCCAGAACTGTGGTCACTGCAGTGTAGCATCAGCACCACACTGGGTCTACATATAGTTAAAGTATAAATGAATAAATGTGTGGCCTCATCTGTGGCCACAGTGAGAATCTGGGCTAAGCTGGGCTGAACTGCAGCAGATGGCTGCACTTGATGAATTCTGTTACAAGCAGCGAAACATAACAGCCGTCATGTGACAATCCTGACAGTGGGGTTACAAAAGTCGTGGGTCCTGATGTAATTAAACACATTTGTGTATTTTTCACATCTAGATAGTCAGACTATCTAGACAGCGTACCTGCAGTACACACCATCACCACCACCACATTCTTTATGAAGCCCACGTTACTAACCTGTATGCGTCGTTGATCCATGTCCGTGCAGTTTTCTCCAAGTCTGTCAAATCCGTGCTAACAGTTTGTCTCACGACAACTCCAAAGGAGCTATAATTTAAAACAGAAATTGCACATAAGTCATCTCAAAATAAAGGAAATGGAATATAAAAACACCAGAAAAAAAGCTAAGAATGTATCCAAAATAAGGACTAATAAAATCAGTAACTTAGTAAATACATAGTGAAAACTTAGCTCAATTACTGGATCTAGCAGAGAAACTCACTATAATCAGAGGACAACTGAAATAATAAGGTGATCCAATTTCAAATAATTGAAAACTAGTTTAAAAAACAACAACAACTATCACTTACCAATAGCCGGAAAAGGAACACAAGTAAAGCCACCTTCAAATAAGGTTTTAAACAGTTAACCAATATAAAATCATCATCCAAGTTAATAACAACAAACACAGATCCTTTATAGACACAATCCTA